TCCTGGAAACAAGACCGTCGGGTTAGCATCTCTGCTAGGGTTCGGGGTTATCATCACTAACTAACTAACTATAAAAAACAAACACTTTTGTTACTTGAAATAAAACGTTCACAGGAAGTAAAATGAAACATTACAAAGCATTGGTAACACTTTACAATAAGGTTTCATTTATTAACATTAGCTAACATATACTAACAATGAAAAATACTTCTGAAGCGTTTATTAAATCTTGGCTGATGTTAATTTCAACATTTACTAATGCTTTATTAAAATCAGAAGTTGTATCTATTAATGCTATCTAATGGACCTGAGCTCATATGAACTAATAATGAAGCAACTAATGTTAACAAAGATTAAATACTATAACAAATAATGAGAAATAATAATGCATTAAATACAGTTAACAAATGGAATGTTATTGTAAAGTGCATTTCTGTTTAATTTAAACTGCTAAAATACTAAAATTACTAAAATAAATTAATAAATATTATATAAAATAGATAAATATTAATAATAATGATATAGAGATATTAGAATAGACTAATTCAAATGTTAAAAACACAATAAAATAATTATTAAATTATATAAGTAAAAACAGAATTAATTCATTCATTCATTCGAAATATTAAAAAAAACTAAATATCAGTGATATTAAAATAACACTAGAAGAGATTCACAATATAATCTGTAACATTTAGGTTACTGGCCAATATTGTAGAGTTTTTTTTAGATGTATCGCTATTGTCTGACATTGTATATTTCTATATTTATACATATAGAATACCTCACTTAAAGTTAAACTTTAAAAACACTAATAATTTAATAGCAAAATCAAAAAAAAAAAAAACATGCATTTTTCATACTGTACATTATAATTTTGTGATACCTAAATTCACTTGTACAATTTAAACAATTAATTTTAGTTTAAAGTGATTTATTTTTAATTCATTTAGACGATATAAGATAATTTTAATATCAGCCATTTATCGATTAACGGCTATAACATATTGACATAATAATTAACAACTTAATGGTATCAGTAAGAATTTTAGGTAACGCTTCACAATAAAGTTAAAATTAGTTTGCATTGGTTAACTAGCATGAACTAAACGATTCACGCTTTGTTATGCTAGTTAATGAAAATACAACTGTTAATTCAGGATCATTAACAAATATAAACAGATACAACTTTAGATTTTATTAAAGGGTTAGTTCACCCAAAAATGAAAATTCTGTCATTAATTACTCGCCCTCATGACGTTCCAAACCTGTAAGACCTCTGTTCATCTTCAGAACACAAATTAAGATATTTTTGATGCATTCTGAAAGCTCTGCATAGACAGCAAGGGTGCTATCGCAAGCGTTTCTTTTGCGCACAAAAAGTATCCTCGTAGCTTCGTAATATTACGGTTGAACCCCTGATGTCACATGGATTATTTTAACGATCTCCTTGCTACATTTCTAAGCCTTGATCTTGGTAGTTACATTGCTGTCTATGGAGAGTCAGAGAGCTCTCGGAATTCATCAAAAATATCTTAATTTGTGTTCTGAAGATGAACAGAGGTCTTACAGGTTTGGAACGACATGAGGGTGAGTAATTAATGACAGAATTTTAATTTTTTGGTGAATTATTCCTTTAATGCATTAGCAAACGCTGAAATTAAGATTAATAAATGCTTTAGAAGTATAAACTAATGTAGTTAACTGCTACTGAATTGATTTGAAATGTGAAATGCACTCGTTGAGGGGTAAACGGACCAGGAAGAAGCCCTGACGAGCTGAGCGATGCTGGAGAAGGCGGTGCGGTGGTTGTCGTCTTGGGGCAGGCAGCAGCACAGCAGACGCAGCCGGCTCTCCCTCACCCGCGACGCCACCGTGTAGAAGAGCCGAGACGACCCGCTGCTCTCCAGATCCCTCACGTCCAACGGAGCGTCTGGCAGAGCGCCTGGCTTCTGACTGCCCAGAGGATCGAACACGACCAGCACACCGACCACCATAGACAGCAGGATGATCCAGCTGAGCACACACAGGCAAAATCGAAATATTGAGAAAATCATCTTTAAAGTTGTCCAAATGAAGTTCTTAGCAATGCATATTACTAATCAAAAATTAAGTTTTGATATATTTACGGTAGGAAATTTACAAAATATCTTCATGGAACATGATCTTTACTTAATATCCTAATGATTTTTGGCATAAAAGAAAAATGTATAATTTTGACCCATACAATGTATTGTTGGCTATTGCTACAAATATACCCCAGCGACTTAAGCCTGCTTTTGTGCTCCAGAGTCACATTTGTAATTGTAACAGGGCCGAGACACAAGTGCGAGTCTATTTAATAACACACAATATCAAATAAAATCTAAAAAATAAAAAATAAAGAGAGAGAGAAAGCTAGATTTATGTGCTTATATTTTGCATGAAGACAGGACAAATCCACATAAAGACAAAAAACATAAAATGTGTCCAGAAAAATATAAAGCAATTCAAGTCATTTTGTAAACATATATTACTGTTCAAAAGTTTGGGGTTTGTACGATTTTTGGAATGTTTTTGAAGTCTCTTCTGCTCACCAAGGCTGCATTTATTTAATTTAAATACATTAAAAATAGTGAAATATTATTGCAATTTAAAACAGCTGCTTTCTATGTGAATATGTGTTAAACTGTAATTTATTTCTGTGATGCGCAGCTGTATTTTCAGCATCATTACTCCAGTCTTCAGTGTCACATGATCTTCAGAAATCATTCTAATATGCTGATTTATTATCAGCTTTACTGTCACTTTTGATCAATTTAATGCATCCTTGATGAATAAAAGTATTAAAATCTTGTAAAAGGAACTATTTTTTCCTGACCTGGACACCACAGCTCCGATCACAAACCCGACCTCTGCTGGCTCGCATCCCGTGCTGTTGTCAGACACCCAAACGGCCCCCAGACAGGCCCATACGAGCTCAGGGACGTACAGCAGGGCCCGCAGATACACCAGAGCTGGCACAGAGCGCCGAGGGCCTGGATTCATGATGGTTCCTAAAACAAAACACAGCCGCGTTAGCATTACACTGACGAAACCCTCCAGATATGAAGAAACCCCACCATCTGTCCACTCACTTACCTTGAGCACTGAAATACACGACTGCACAAAGTGTCAAGATGATGACAGCCAGCAGAACCAGAAGAACTATGAGGTAATTATGCAAATTCGCTCCACCCTGACAATCAAACCGTCCCTTACGGTTAGTGTACAGAACTAAAGTCACGATCCACCTAAGAGACAAGACATGACAAGAGAGGTTTAATACACAAAAATGTCTTTTGTTTATGTTTACTATGGTTTTAGCACGTGTACCATAGTACTGCAATTAGATAATTGGCATGGTAATGACATATATTAATGAGCATGATCTTAGCACTTCCACGGTAAGAGAGTTGTTTGTATTGTGGTATTTCTAAATACCGCGGTATACCGCGGGGGTGTATAGTACGGTATCACACACTTCCTAGTCGT